AAATAAGCATCCAGAAACCAGGCATTAGCTCTTACAGTGCACAGAATAGTGATTTCAGACGTGTGCCCGTGCTTCTCCATTCTCTCAATGTCACCTTGCCTTCCTCCTGCTCAGAGCCTTCCTGGGTTCTTGGCAAAGAACCCCACAGCACTGTGGCCTGTTTCTTAATATCTCTTTATTTGTGGGGCCCTGACTTTGTCCAGGCTCCAATGGGCACTACTGTGTGTACCCCATGCTTCCCCTTCCCTAGGACAGAGGGGGGTGCTGTGAATGCAGCCCCTTTAGATTCTGACCACACAACTCCTGGTTGCAGGGGTGGTCCACCCTAACAGGGAAGATTCAGTCTGCAGCACTGACACTCAGGAGAGCTCTGCCTGTGATCGAGTGCTTGCTGGGTGCCTGGGGTGAGGATGGGTGGGCAGTCTCCCCATTGACCCACAGTTTAGTCACCTGGTGGGATATGGAAGCTTTAAAGGGATAGTCGCCTGCCTTGTGCTAATCCAGACATTACAATGACCCATTCACAGCTGGGCTTGGCAGGACTGCAGTAGTCCACCAATAATAACGTGGATCTCCTCTTTCCACATGCCCTCTTCTGTGCTCATAGAGCCCCACAAGAAAGCTCCTTTGCCAACTGCTTGTTCTCATCCCTGTCCTTCCCTGGCCCGTGCTGGGGACCTTGGTACCAGTAGAAATTGCTCCCAGATTACGGCTTCTCTCTATCCTTTACTACTTGTGAGCCTCAGTCAAGGTGCTTTACAATAGGAGACTTGCTTGGATTTTTTCCATAAATAACAGGGTTTCCCATTCCCTGGAATGTGCAGATTTAAACAAGATGCATATAGAGGGCCTACTTTACTTTGTGGCCCATGGTTTTACCTTGTTGGGAGGCAGCTAGAGATAGCCAGGGAATTTTCAAATCCAGATACTTTCTGGCTGCCTGTGACCATCCCGTACCTCTGCTTTCCACTGCCCAGAAAAAGCCAGAAAAGCAAAAATGCAATGACAGGCCATGCCTGCTCCTTTATGCCTAGAAAGATTCTTTGTATGAGTCCCAGATAGAACAAATCCTCCCCTCTGCCAGGTCCCTGTGTCAAGCACTGTGCTCTGCAGGCAGACGAACAGGGCTACTCAGGCCACACCATCAGGAACCACAACTAGAGCTTTCTTCACACCAAGGCCAAAAAGGAGCTAATAGATACTAGTATGCTGGGAAAGAGAAAACCCAGGAACATCCAGAACTGGGCTCTGTTTCTCAGCCACTTCTATATATCACCAAAGTCTCTTACCTCATCTGCCTCAGGTCAGGGAGCCTCCTGAAATATTAATCTGAAGAGTCCCTTTGCTGCTCCAACACACCCAAGGGTCCCTCTAGGTCCACCTTGACTAGTCTGGTATTTAAGGACCCCACAGATTGCCTCCATTCACAAACACTGACCACTGTGTCCCTTCTGTGCCTTTCTGTGCCCCTGCTCCAAATGGAAAAAAAAAAACCTTGTTTTTATGGGGGTCCCTTCCAAGAATTCCTGACCCTTCCATTTGTACTTGTCCACTTCCTGCCTACCTTCCTAGTCCACTCTGGCTTAATCTTTTTTATAATATCTTTCCTGATAGTCCCCAAGAATGGCCCCTCTCTCATCTGACCCTAGAGCATCAGGTGAGGCCCTCTTGCAGCCTGGTTTGCTCTCCTCTCTGCACCTAGATCTCTCCACCCACATCACATCCCTCCCACTGGACTGAGCCCACTCCAGGATTGAGCCTGAAGCCTGTCTGAAACTTACTATCTGTCCTGACCCCAAATCACCCCCACAAGAAGCCACAGAATGTCAGATGGTAGCACTGGCTAGAAGAGGTGCCAGGGGGACCCCAAAGAGCATGGGCATTAGCAATCTGAGGATCAGGGTCACACATAGATAGTGCAGGGGACAGAGGGAAGGACTTTGTGTTGGTTAATATTGTCCCAACCTGATATGGCCTTCCTCCAAGAGCATAAACCCCAGAACAGTTAAATATCTGCAGAAAATGAACAATCCCTTTGCCTGGGTGTCAAATAGTCTTAAAGCCTCCCATGAGCATCCCTCTTGGTCCCATCAATCTTCATCTGGGCCAATAACCAGACTCCTGGCTTCCCTGTACTCTTCTCTTCCTGCTGCAACCAAAGGGCACCCTCTGTCCTGGAGCATGCAGAACTGGCACAACCATGGTTGGTAGAGAGATTTTTGGAGAGAGACCCCTCTTCTCTGGGTAACAAATGGGCCAGCCAGAGGCTGGAGAAGATGCCAAGGCCCAAATCAAGGGGAGAAAATGCTCGTATGCATTTGCCTTCACATTAGGCACAAAGCTATGTTATTTTCTCCAATTTGAGGAATAACTCTTTGAGGTATAAATTATTCTGCCTATTCCAAAGATAAGAAATCCCAACTTGGGTGGATTATGTATTTACAAATATTACCCAGGTAATAACTCACAGAACAGGGATTCCAGCCTAGTTCTCCTTTCTCTGTTGCTGTTGTTTTAATTTGTTGTTGTTGTTGATTCAAACCAGCACTGACTCTACGGTGTTCCCTCAATGCCTCTCTGTTGACTCTGTTTTAGTCTCAAGGGGACAAAACAAAAGACTTCAAAATTGCTCTCCACCTGCCAAACAGGTACAAATCAGAAGGGGCTGAGATTTCGAGACACTTTTCTGCCATCTGCTGGTCATCTGCCATAAGCCCATGTAGATCTGCCATGTAGATCTCCTATGTGAAAGGAGACTCTGCCTGCCTGAGAAGTGCCCAACCATAACATCAGCCCTGCATGGAAGGACCCTTCCTCTGGCCCACCGTGGGAAGACCCTCTTTCTGTACAGGGCTGGTTCTTCATACCAAAAATTAGCAAATAGTTTCTTTAAGCTCCTGTGACACATTTGGCATCAATTAGTTCTTTGAATCCTCATAGCCATATGTGCAGGAGGTATGATGGGATAACTGAGGTTCAGAGAGACTGAGCAACTAAGGAGTTAACTGACAAGTGTGAAATTGAAACAGGATCTGACCTGGGCATCCATGGTTGGTTTTGTGTATACTCTGTGCCTCAAGTTTCCTCTCCCGTAAAATGGGAATAACACATAGGACTTTTCACATAGGACTGTTGCAATGATTAAATAGTTAATAAATGCTAAGTATAGAGAAAAGGACAGGATACATAGTAAAAATGAAATAAATGGCAGTTTTCCTGCACAAAACACATGCACACAGGATTGTATATACTTATTCTTACGCAGTCTCACACACATGTACAAACACACATGAACATTCAAATGCCCATGTAGCTCTGCCAAGACCTCCTATGTGAAAGGAGACTCTGCGTGCCTGAGAAGTGCATATATACACATTCTTACACACACATTTACACACTCATATATGCAAATTAATTCACACATACTGGTAAAGAGTGGACACCAGGAAACTGCCCACCACCTGAAGCCAGAAGGCTAGGGTATGGCGGGTAGTTTCTTTCCAGTGTGTGTCCTTGAGTAAACTAATGAAACCTCACTTTCCTCCCCTGTAAAATGAGAAGAATATGACTCCACGTGCCACAGGACTCCTCTAAGAGGAGCTGGGATGTGTGTGACCATCTCTGCAAGCTCTGAAGTGCTCTTCAATTAGGTTGCCACCATGTGGGGGATGCAGCTCAACAGCCTCACACCTGCCTCACCTGGTGCCAGCCAGCATGACATCAGTGTTTGCCACCGCCCTGTGCCTGCTTCACAGAGGCACATGGGAACTCTCCATCCAGCCCTCAGAAAATATGACCTCCTCCCCTCCCCTTCCAAGATTGAAGAACTCAGTCCCCTTCTGCCTGACAATCCCCCCAGAAGTGAGGTGTTGGGATGCTGGTGGTTTCAGCCAGGGGCTCCTCTCAGCTTTACAGGAGGCAGCATTTCAGCAGGAGAAAATGGGCCTGCATCAGCTGGGGAAACCAAGAAGGAGGCTCACATAGCTGTTTCTGCAGGGAAGAAAGAATATACCAGGACCTGGGGGAGCAGGGTACAAGCCTCGGGGACAAGGGCCACAAGAGCAGCCAAGCACTGCAGCCCTGTCCTTCCTCTCCTACTCTCTGAAGCTGCACCCCACAGTGGGTGTCATCCATATCCAGGGAGAGAAATGCAAAGTGCCTGGGAGTATAATTCAGGACAGTATAATCAGGGACAGAGATAGATCTCAGCAGTGGGCTGCTACACTGTCCATGGGTGGTTCCCTCAGTGACTGGACAGGGCCAGAGTGATGCTGGTTGAGGGAGACTTGAAGGCAAGAGAGTCCTTGGGAGAAGAGGACCCTGAGCCAGCCAGTATGAAAAGCCTAAGACCAAATCCACCCTGGGTGGAAGGTCAGGTGATCAAGCACAAATACCAACTGCCAAGAGAAGACAGGAAGAGAGCACAGAGTGAGCAACATCTCCTATCAGAGTAAAAGCCAGGGGGTAGATAGCACTGGGTCCAAAGCAATGAGCCAAGAGGGTGAGATGCAGCTGCCAAATCACCAAGTGAGAAGGAGACCATGCAAGCAGCCAGCACAGTGATCCAGGTGGGAGACCTAGGTGGGGAGGGAACACATGGACGAGCACTGAAGCCAGACACAGAACACGCATTGGCCTGTGAGGGTCCCTGACACCACAACATGTGGAGGAGGACAGCTTTGGGTCAGACAGGCTGGTGGCCAGTTAGTCTCTGGGGGCACTATAAGTGGTAGCTCCATGACCAACATGGGCAACATCTGTGTTCTGGGGAGGCTCAATGAGATGACCTCTGGGTTCTGCTTGAGGTTCCCAGGGACCAATCTGGGAGGTGTTCTACTCTCACCTACTTTCCAGCCACAGCCACCAGTTCTCATGTGCAGAAGAAACTACCCTCAGTCTCAGAAAGAAGCCCTCACTCCAAAGCCAAGGGACCCTCAATAGGACAATGCTGTGGTGTGGAGAACTCAGGCCTACTCTCCCCTCTCTTCTTGCTCCCTTAGTGCTGATCGGCGTGGGCACCGAGACCTTGTTCCAGGGCCAGTACAAAAGCCTGGCTTTCTATCTGCTGTGAGTATGTGTATATGTGCCCTCCTTGCCAGCATGTTATGCCCTAGCTCATTAATTTCTCTTCAGTCCAACCCATAGCAATCCCCTTTCCTATGCTAATTCCATCCTACCCCAAAGGTGGAAAGAGTTGATGGTACTTCAACAATAGCTCCAGGTTTGGAAAGACCATCCCATACATCATTCTTTCATATACCCATTCATACACCTACCTACTCGTGCACCCACCTTCCCACCCACCTTATGCATCCACCTCCTTACCCATGCATCTACCTACCCATCCATATATTCATCTACCCATTCACTCACCCACTAACACACCCATCACTCATTCATACACCTATCCCCCATCCACTCACCTGTTTACCCACACACACATCCACCCACCCACCCATCCACCTATCTATTCATTTATTCACCCATCCACCTTTCCTCCCCAAACCCATTCATCCATGTGTCCTTTAAATTATTTCTTTATTCAGCAAACATTTATGTGCTCTTATTTAGGAAGAAGAGAATCAGGTCAAGGAAATACATATTTGAGTTCTCCTACATGCCAAGCATAGTTAAGTGTCTAAATTATGTCATTTAGCTCTAATGGCACTGTAGAAGTGCATACTGGCCTAGTTGTACAGATAAGAAAATTCAGGGGGAATAAACAGTCAGTCTACATCACCAAGCTCCTGAGCAGCAAGGCCCAGATTTGGACCCAGGGCTCCTTAGTTCCCCAGATAATGTCCTTTCTTCATCACCAGCTACGTCTGCCAATCCCCTGGAGGTGGGAAGGAGATTGTGCAAAGGTATCCCAGGGGGCCACAAAGGTCATGGGTACATGCAGACTCTGATCCAAAGACCCTATGATCCCATCCTGAGGGTCTATGAGCAGTTTCCTTCTAGCAGTAGAGAAAGCCTGCATCTTCCAGTCCCCCAGGTGCTGAAGGGGCCACTGAGCTGAGAAACAATGAGGAAGGGCCAGCCAGGCTGCCTCAGTCTCAGACTGTGTCCTCCATTCCTCCCCTTTACCTCTGCACTTGCATTTTACCCAGGAGGCTGCCCTGTGTCCTCAGCCCTTCACACACCACACACCCACCCACCTCCAGGTAGGCTCTCTGATGTCCTTGGTGAGTCACGTCCACCCTCCCAGCTGCAGTTCACCCTCTGACTTCATCTCCACACTGACATCTGATGACCCCAACAGTTCCTGCCAAAACTGCTCTAATTCACATCCTAGGCCATCTTCTACCTCCACCTTATTTCTCATCAGCCACCACAGGGACTTCTGGCTCTTTCTCTGGCTCTTTCTTCATGGCCTGGCCTCCAGGATGTTGCTCACCTAATTGAGTGCCCAAATACCATCCACCCATTTTGGCATTCGTTAAGCTGATTCCTTCCTAGCAATCTGCCCTGGGCACATTGCCCCAAGCCTAAAACAACCACTGGCTGGAAGTGACTTTTCTTTCTCTGGATATCCTCCACAACTCACTGTTCCCAGCTTCTGCACTGTCTCTGTGGGACCCAGAAGCAGGGCTGGGCCTTCCTCTTCTCCAAAGGCTGCTTAACTTGCCAGTCATTTCCTTGGCAGGTAATACAGACTGCCTTTTTCCCTGTACCTTGCCTCTCACTGACTGCTCTGTCCCTTCCTTGAGGGAACCCTGTGCCCATCTGGTCACACATCAGTTCAGTCCAGCCTCAAATTCTCCCTATTCTTCACCTTAAGCTACTTTGTATTCTCCAGCCAAGTTCTGCTTTCTAAACCCTGCAGGTCAGCACTCACTGCCTGTCCATCCAGTCCCTCTCTCCCACTCACTAGTATCAGATAGAAATTCCAAAAGAGTCACTTTATGCCACCTGTCTCCATTTCCCTGCCTGTCCCAGTATGTAGAAAAAGGCACTGTTGATGGTTATGCAAAGTGCCTGAACTAGGAGGGCTTCTTGGACCCCATACAGGCTCTGGAGTCTGAGTGCTGGATTTTTATCTTAACTCTGCTACTGATCAGCTGTGTGACCATAGGCAAGGAGCTTCACCTTTTTGTGCATCACTTTCCTCATCTGCAAAATGAGAGTGATTATAGGGCTGATCATAAAAGTATTGCAAGGAACAAACAAGTTGGTGTTGCAATCACTATATAAATGTTATTATTATTTTTAAACTAAAAGGTAAGAATTAGGCAGACATGGAGAGACATAAAAGCAATAGGAGAAAGTAGATATTAAGTACTAAATAGTTACAGAGAGGGAAAAATCATTCTTGTAACAATTCGATTGTTGAGGCAATATAAATTAACCTCAGTTTTTAAGTCAAGCCTTTTACCTATGGTCATATAGCTGATCAGTTAGAAGGGCAACATCCATAGCCCTAAGGAGATCTTAGTCATGAGCTGCCTTCTCCTGTATCACAGCATCTACCTTCACTCATTCATCACTCCAGTGCACATTCATGAAACACTTACAAATCAATCCTGCCCAGGGTGAGCCCCAGGCTGTACAAAGGAATTAGGAAATTCCCTTTAGTTGTCCATAGACTGGTGGCTCTGGTCATATGTTACAACCTGGAGAAGAAATTGGTCACCATACAGAAAAGAGAGGGAAAGAGGAGGCCTTACAAGAATGAACAACTTATGCAAAGGGCTCTAACAGTTTCCTGTGTAGTAGGAGAATAAAGATACATAAAGTGGTGGGGGGCTAGGAATCTATGATTTTACAGAGGCCCCAGGAGGTTCTGATTGGTGGGCCCCTACAGCATGAGCATTCTGGATCAGAAAAAAATATAAGCAGATTTGAGGAGCAGAAGGAGTCTTGGATATCCTGGTGGTGACAATGGAGGAACAGGAGATGGGCCAGGGAGTCATGAAGGCTGGAGAGCAGAGCTTGGACCTTCTCACACACATATGCTCTGGAGTTTGAATGAGATGGTGGTGAATTCAGAGAGAATGGAGCAATTCTAAAGGTATTTAAGGAGCATACTTAACTGATCCTGGTGACTGAAAGATGGGAAAAGAGAGATAAGAAGAGAGTCTGGCCATGAGTCCAACCAGGCAATGGGTATCAGTTCTGGTGACTGGCAGGTAGAAGGATGCCCCTGCCAGTGTGGACTCAAGGTACCAGGGTGCAGGCCATCTCACCTGTTGGCCATGGCTTCCTCCTTATCCATCTCTGCACCCCAGCCCCACCCTCTCCGGCACAGGTCCTGGCGTTGAGAGAGCTCCTGAAGGATGTTGCCTGGGTGATGACACTAGGTCAAAATATCCTGGTCAGTCTGTTGCTGGAGACGCGGGGGATGTGACGATACTGTGAACACAGCCTCAGAAAATTCCAGGGAGGATCAGAGGTGCTGGCCTCCCTCACCTGTCTCCACCCATAGGTTTATAGGAGCTGCTGTCTCCGTGTGTGAAGGGGCCTACTTTGTGGCTCAACTGCTGGCCATCTGTTTCAAGTAAGTAGCCTCCAGAAGTGGCCCCTCAAATACCCATGATCCCTAATCCCAGATGCCTCCACTCATGGGGCCATAGCTGGGGGATGTCCTCAAGCCACCATAATGGTTTCCCCTTTCAGAGCAGTCACCTTCTTTGGCCTTGATACCAGCCAAGAGAACCAAGTGATTTATCCATTCAGAGCCCCCCCAACACTAAGATTCCCCCTAGAAATCAGCTTTATTTCCCCCAAGGAACAGTTTATTGCTGGGCTCTGGTGCCTAAATCATTCACCAGAGGGTAAGAACCCCAGGAAGGATCAGTTTGCAGTGAGCAGGGCTGGGTGTGAGAACTGGCTGCTAGCTGTGCCTCCTGCTAGCAGGGACAAGTCAGGGGTCATGAACCTCTGGCCATAGAGGCCCCACTGCTTTCCAACTGCTGCTCAGTATGTGGAGCTGTTATCTGTGTGGCCTTGGCCTGGAGTCCTGAACCACAGCTTTAACACCTTAGAGGATCTGGTTCCCAGGTGTTCAGTGAGAGTCACACTTCAAATCCAGCTGCCCCAGCACCTTGCAAGGTCACTGGCTTTCTTCCAGGTTCTCCAAGCCTAAGAAAGTAGCCGTCCACCTTAATCCCAAATTCCACTGCCAAGTATTCCTTGAAACTTCATGGGAGCTGTGGACAGAAGCAAAAAGAACCTTGGATACGGAGCATTTTAATCTTGGGATTTCCCAGGCCACATGCATGCATTGTGACCACAAGGGGGCACTAATGAGCCACAGTAGCCAAGGCTGCTCAGCATCAGGCCTCTGCCACGGTGGTGTATAATTCCCACATGCTGGTTAGGAAAAACACTATTCAAGACTGATTTTATTATGTGCCTAGGTGAGCAGAGTGCAGCTAGATTCCAGCCTGCTCATCCATGTTGCCAGGCCTTTTGTGCAGTGCACACTGTGCACCATGATCCCAGCAGGTGTCTCCTCTGCTCCATGCATTTTCTGCTGCACTGCAGACTTTCCAGTGGGTCCTGAACCTCCATTAACCTTTCTTCCCTCTGGGCCAGAAAGGCAAGGCTGAACAATCTTAGAAAAACTGTAGACCTTCCTGGATGAAGGATCTCAAATGAGGCCTTCAACTGTGGAACCCACAGTGAGGACCCCTGGAACTTTCATGATTCCAAACCCAAAGGGTGTTCAGCCGGGGGCCACTGCAGAGATCATGCCCATGGCAGGCCCAACATCAGCCTCCAATGGCCTCCTAGCACGAGTTCTTCCTGGGTGCTTCATGCTAACCCTGATCTCCTTTCTCCAGGTGCCAGCCAGGGTCCCTGGCCCACAGAGCAAGAGAGAAGACCCACTGGCTGGGATGCTTCCAGAAATTCCTGGCCTATATGCTGCTCTCCGTGGCCTGCTTTCTTCACCCTGTCCTTGTCTGGCACGTAACCATCCCAGGTAGGAGCACCAGAAGCTAGAGGAGGTTTGCAGCCCCTGCTCCAGGTGGGCTCTAGGAAGTGGGTGCTGAGTCACCCTCTCTCAGAGCACACACTGACCCCACTGGCCTCTTTGCCCTAGGGCAAGCAGCTGCTGGGTATAATCCAGGTTGACCAAATGGCAGCAATGTCCTACACAGCCATCCAGACAGAGGTGATATCCTTAAGGGAACCTGGCCTTTCCTCATATTGACCATATGTGGTTCAACCATTCAGGTCTAAATTCCTCAGGCTGGTTTGGAGGGCTCCCTAGGACGGGACCCCAAAAGGACTTTTTAGCTGTTCTCCTACTTTTCCACTGCAGCCTGCTGGGCAGCAATTTTTGACTGCAGAATCCAGAACTCAGTTCTATCCCCTCTTCACTTCTGTCCATGACCTTCTGTGCTAGGATCCTCCTCTTCCCTCCTTCTTATCTATAAAGACTATGCCTCTGATAAGAGCCCCCCTGAAATACTAGGAAGCAGACCCTCCAGGAAAACAAAGTTGAAGAGAAGAGCCCCTTGTTCCCCCTGCCATTTCTTTGGTGTACGTGCCACAGTCTCTCCAGAATTCTGGAGAAGATTCCACCTCTGGCAAGGCCAGAACAAGCCCAATCCCCTACTTCTTGGAGAATGAAGCATGCAGGAGGCTGAGGCTCCAGCAGGCATTAATAGTCACCTCTCTCCCATTCCCCACCTTCTGGACAGGACTGGACTCTTGGCAGGAAACCCAGAGCAGAGCATCATCTCAGCCTGGGTCCAAGAAGCCCATTGTCCTCTGTGGCCACAGAGGAGATGAACATGAGGCTGTCCCCACCCAAGTAGATTTGTACTTTACTCTGAGTTTACTGGGTGAGGGTTAGGAAAGCTGATGTGAAGGGAGATCTGAGAACATGAGGAAGCCCAATTCAGAAGTTGGAGGCCCAGTATACAAAAGAGAGTCCAGGCCCATCAAAGGCGTTGTAGGTCTAGCACCAATAAGCCATGCTTAGAGGGAAGCTAAGAGTGGTAGTGGGAGGCCAGGCAGGCAGCAGCTGAGCCGACTGTCCACAAAGAGCAATCCTAGGCACTGAGATCGGGGATGGGTCCTCAAGAGCCTGATGAAGCCCTTCCTTTGTGTCAAATGGGGACCTAGTTTCCTGATTAACAGGCAACCCACGTGTGGCACTGGTCCTAATCATAACCTTTGGCTGGGGTCAAAGTCTGATGTAGGGGTATGGTTGCTGGAACCATGGTGGAACTGAGTATGTCTGCCCAGTACCACGCCACGTGGCCCTGCAGAAGGATGGGCTTGAACGGCCTTTTTTACCTCCATGACACATCCATCATTCTGACCTCCCAGATCTCTTCCAGGCTCCATGCTTATCATCACTGGCCTGGCCTACTTTCTACTGAGCAAGCGGAAGAAGACCAAAGCTTCCCCGGAGGTTCTGGCCTCCCCAGAACAGTACACAGACCCCTCTGGCAGTGCTGTGAGCACCACTGGCTCCGGGGACACTGAGCAGACTTACACCTTCCATGGGGCCCTCAAGGAGAGGCCTGGATCCCTCTTCATCCACATGAAGAGTATCCTGAAGGGGACCAAGAAACCCAGTGCCCTGCAGCCCCCAGACACCCTTATGGAGTTGCCTCTGGAGTCAGCTGACTCCCTGACCAAGAAGAAGCAGGTGCACTTTGAGGATAACGTGGTCAGAATCATCCCATCGCTTTCTGAAGGTGCGGATGATGAGGACAGTGAGCCGGAGGAGACTACCTCTGACACAACCCCCATCATCCCTGTCCCCCAAGCCCCGCTCCTTCTGTCTTCACTCATGGCAACCGACCTGTTCTGAGCAGCTCAGTGAGGTGTCTACATAGACTGATGACCCTGCCCTGGAGCTTCATCATACCCATAGACTCTCCAGGGAACTCAGGGTCTTTGTAGGTCAGCTCCTCCAGGGGTAATCAGATATCCCCAAGATGACTTGGGTCTCTGGGACCATCAGGTGGTGCGACATCCAGAAGTCCCGTAGAAACCTCCGGGAAGATACAAATGAGGCTCATGCCACTTAGAACCAGTTTGGGGTCCTTCTTCCTGGTCATGGTGCAGAAATCCTTGTGCTTTGCCCAAAGCAACCATCATTTTGACTCTACATAAGGCCATAGGTACCACTGCTTCAGAACCAAAGGGACAGAGGATGTCTGCCTTGGCCCAAAACTGCAGGGCTTCTCTTGCCCCTGACATGGAGTCCATTATTGATCAAGGGACCTATGGAACATTTCATCTCTGATGTGACATCCCACCTCTGAAGGTTCAGGGATGCAGTGGCAACTTGAGCATCTCAAACATAGGTGTTAATGGTGAGCCCTTTCCAAGACTGTTCAGGGTGGGGACTAAGGGTTGCAAATCCTCAGGGTGAGAGCAGCTGGGCAGTAAGCCACATTCCAACCATGCTCTGGGGCTGGGGCCAAGCATCAGAAGTTGCAGAGCCGCTCAGGGAAACAATGCCACTCTGTGCTCACTGCTGGGAAAGCAACACTCATTCCAGAAGCATTGCTGAGGGCTCCCTGAATCCCCACCACGGGGTTCTTCCAAGATTCCAAGTAGATGATGCAAACTATGACAACATTCACCAGTGACTGCCAGGCCCAGTACGCAGTGCTTGCTGTACCCCAGGATCCCAGAGACAGTGCCCTGGAGAGTCACATGGCACAGAGAACTGGCTCTGCCATACTTAGCCACCTGCCAGTGGAATGCATGATAAATACATGTTTGTTCAAAATGGGAGAGAGGGAGGCAAGGGAAGGATCAATTGGAAGGTAATCATCTAGGAGACAAGTTCCCTGCCAAAGGGATATGGAGGTAGCGGTTAACCCAGAATGAATAAATATATTTGAATCACACATCTTTTGGTAAAAGGATTTGCAATATAGTTTTTATTTATAAATAAGGTTCCTTGGATCCTTGAGAGTGTTTCTGGGAAGAACAGATGTGTTATGCCTCATAGACAATACCAATATATCAGCAATCTGGTAAAGAAGGGTCCTATGGTTTCCCAGTCCGTGTGAGAGGGTTGGCACTAGCACTCCTTAAGAGCAAGTCTTAGATCACATGCTTGTTTGTTGTTGTACCATTTTCAACAGCCCCTACAAGTTTTTGTGTGGAGATAAGGGCCAACCAGAAGCTGGCATCTGTCTGGTATTTAATGAAATAGGTATTCCAAATAAGCAGAGCTCTTCGTGCAGTCATGCAATAGTTTTTTTTTTTTTTCTCAAGTTGAATGGCAAATGGCTAACAAACACATTCCCATAAGCCTTGATGGTGGGAGCATTTGAGCGGTTTCCTTAGTTGCCCTGAGAAGGGAAGTCAGAATCCGACTGTTCATAGCAGACGGGGAATGTGGGTATAGATAGGTGGGGATCTTGTTCCATTCCTGGTGGAATGGGGTCCTGGGTAGGCTCCTCTGCACAGAAGGATCCTCAGTGCGGAGGAGCCAGTGGTTGGTCTTGCCTGTGTTGAGTGGATGTGATGAGAATGCCATGACCATGGATGCGCCACAGCCTAGGCATGTCAGGCCTTGCACATCAGAGCAGCCCCATGCTCAGAATCTGGACCCGTAGAGCTGAATGACCAGGTCACAAGATGCACACCCAAAAGTGAGGTGTCAGAACCCATATAATAAATATTTCTATAAACCCAACCGCTAGCGCATTGTGTTGGTTGTGTGTTAGAGGCGAGGAGTTCCAGGTGATGATGTGCGTGTGATTTAGAAACATCTGGGCTTTGTGGTGACTGTCATCGGTTAAAAGGGGAGTCTTCTGTGTGTGCAGCCTTAGAGAGTGGTGATGACCTTTGCTAAGATAGCAAAGTAAAGCTTGAAACCACTCTGACCATTGCCAAAAATAAAGCTGGGATGAGATAATGGATCATTAGGTAGACTGGAACCTTTACGCCTTCCAGTGGACAGGGCAAGAAAGTGATACCTTCCTCAAAAGAGATAAATGCTATAGGTCTCCATTTGGTCCTCAGCGTGTACTTTTAGTCAGATTTTTCTATGACCAAAAGACCTGACGAGAATGATTTTAGAGAAGGAAAAGTTTACTTGGAGTTCACAATTTCAGAGTTCTCCGTCCACCGATGGGACTCGATTGCTCTGGGTCTAAGGTAAGGAAGAGAGTCAGGGAGGAACGCAGCTCAAGACATAGCCACCAGGAAACAGAGAGAGCTCTGCTCACCAGGGACAAAATATATATTCCCAAGGCATGCCCCAGTAACCTACCTCCTCCGCCATACCCTACCTGCCTAGAGTTACCCCTGGGTTAATCCAGTCAAGTGGATTAATGTCCTGATTGGTTAAACCCAATCATTTCTCTTCTAAACTTTCTTGCATTGTCTCGCACATGAGCTTTGGGAGGACACCATAGGCCCATAACAGCCTGGGATACCTTACACTTTTATCTGTATCCCCTGGTATCCCTACAAAGCAGATGTACTGATGAGCCTCATCCCTACTGAGAATCAGACTAGGTTGGCTGAACCTATTGTGTCCTGCCTCCTTCTCTTAGAAGAAACCAGAGCTGACACTCTGTCCATGTGGAACAGAGCCATTGGAATTAGAAAGAGGACTAGGCTGGGGATTGTTCAGTCCTCCACTAACATGCTGACTGCCCTAGGCCAAGACCCTTAACATCTTTGGGAAGTGTTCCTCAATTAAGTGTGAATAATGGCAATGGCTCAGTGAGATCTGGAGAGGTGTTTTCAGGCGACAAGTCATGGTAAGGTCCCCTGTTCTCATTGCTGTTGGGGCATCACAGTGAGAAAACATGGAGGAATCACCACCCCAACTTTACCTGGGGCAGGACCAAGGCAGGCCCAAGAATTTCTTCCTCAACCTCAGATTTTAGGACTTGAGTTTGGGGAGGGTATAACTGCCAACCCCAGCAGAGACCAAGAGCTACATGGACCCCACAATCATGAGGAGCTGTGCACTGGTGTCCTTCCTTTCTCCCATCAACCCTAAGGTTTTTGTTTCCTAGTTTTGGGGTTTTTTAAATTTCTTTGGTTTATTGGTTGGTTTGAGTTTTCTTAAATATCTTTATTGAGATATTCACATACTAGAAAATTCACCAATTAAAAGTGGACATTTAAGTGGTTTTTAACATATTTGTAATCTAAGTTCACCACAATTTCCATAATCTATATTCACATTTTCATCATACTTGAAGGTCCTCAACCCAGTCCCCATTTCCCGTCCCCTGCTCTAGGAAACCACTCATCTACTTTTTGCCTTTTTAAATTTGCCTACTCTAGGCATTTCATGTAAATGAAATTATAAAACGCCATGTAATATCTTCTCTTTTTTTGACAGCTTCTATCATTTTACTGATATTTTCTGCTTAATAATACTTCATCCTACTTTCCTTTAATCCTTTAGACATGGTTTCAAACTGAGGATTGCTTTGAAGTCTCTGTCAGCTACTGTCCTACATCTAGGTCACCTCAAAAGCTATGTCTCTTGTCTGATTTTTTTTCCCCCAATGTAACCCACTTTCCTGTTTCTTTGTATGTCTCAAAAATTTGTGTTAACAACTGGACATTTTGGCTAATATCTAAGGCAAACTTGGATACTGGCTCTCCCTTCTTCTCGGCCTGGTTTCTTGTTATTTGTACATTCATGTGTTTGCTCACTGACATGGCTGCACTAATTCTGTGAAGTCAGATAAGTCAGATTTTTTTTCTTGCTTTTAATCTTTCAGTCACCTATTAGTTTCTGTTTTAATCATCTTTTTCATCACTGCAACCAAAAGACCTGGCAAGAACAATTAGAGGAGAAAAAGTTTATTTGGGGGCCCATGTTTCAGAGGTCTCATGCCATAGATAGCCAACTCCATTGTTTGGGGCCCAAGTGAGGCAGAATGTGGTGGCAGAAGAGTATGCTGGAGGAAAAGTGGTCCAGGACATGGCCAACAAGAAGCAAGGCGGGGGGAGCTCCCCTCACTACTGACAAAATATAAATCCCAAGGGCACATCCCCAGGACCCACCTCCTCTAGCCACATCAAACTTGCCTACAGTCACTACCCAGTTAATCCCTATCAGGGGATTAATGCACTGATAAGTGTAAAACCCATAACTCTATCATTTCACCCCTAAACTTTCTTGCATTGTCTGACACATGAGCTTGGCAGGGGTGCCTCATAGCTAAACCATAACAGTTTTCCTTGAGTCTTTATAAGCCATTTATCTCTCTGGACCAATTAGATTCTTACACTTCACCATTGCAATCTGTAAAGCAGGGAGAGGAGGGGAACTTGCAGTCTTCTATCACATATCAAGGAGTTTACACTTTCTCTACAGTTAGCCAGGGACAAGGAGGTATGACATCCTTTTTTTATGATACTCTGGAGAAGAATCATTCTTGAACATATAATACTGTTTGCCAGAGTGATTTTATTTTCAGGACTTTCGCCTGGCCCAATATTTAGTTAAAGGATGTACTTAAATCCCTTATGCCTATAAGCCATCTACCCTTTGTTGATGGATCCATGTGCAGATGGGAAATGTTTTCAGATCTGCCCCCACAGGCTGATCTGATTGCCCCAGAATACATCCAGCCTAGCACTTGCATAGAGCCTTCCAAACCCCTGGAGTTGACTGATTCCCAAAGGGCTCTTCTTGGCTGTCTCTTTTCCATTTCCCTATTAAACACATGACTGTCCTGTTCTTTTGCTTACTGCTACCAGAACCATGACTTACAAACACCCTTTTAATTGTTTTTCATCAAGAATTCCATTGTCTTTTTTTTTTTTTTGCGGGGTGGGGGGGGGCAGGGCGGGTGGTGGTACTGGGGATTTAACTCAGGGTCACTTGACTACTAAGCCACATCCCCAACCCTATTTTTTGTATTTGGAGGTTTCACTGAGTTGCTTAGCGCCTTGCTCTTTGCCAAGGCTGGCTTTGAACTCATGATCCTCTTGTCTCAGCCTCCTGAGCCACTCGGATTACAGGCGTGTGCCACTGCACCTGGAAAGATCTTCATTGACTTTAAGAGCTCCATGATGATGGAATTCTCCACGAGCTGGTGTAAACAGTCATTCCTCTCAGACAGAGCTCCAAGCTCTTAATTCTTACTGTCTTCTTTCTCCCTGAGCAAAACTTCTGCAGCTGCACAGGAGCTGGGGTGGGGACAGCTGTCTGCTTCCCTGGAGGGACACCTTTGCTCTACAAGTAGGTGCAGGAAGGAGTAGCCCCTGGTATTCTTAGTGCATCCTTCCCAGAGTGGAACCTCTGTGCTAGGAGTGAGTTGGGGCTGGGAAATCAAGGCGACCATGTTTTCAGCCTGCTAAGCCTGGAGTAAAACACACTGTGTATGAGTGGGAGCTTGGTAGGAAAAGGGAGTCAGCCATTTTGATATCCCTGACTGGAATAGAACTTCTGCAACACAGGGCCAAAGGGTATGAGGAACAGAGCATCTTGCTCCTCCCAAAGTGAGATCAAACCCTAGATTCGGAAGTGAGGGAGAGGAAGCCCCTGTGTTTTGGACACATAGAGTTTCCATAAGGTGGAATTGAGAGGAGCATGCCATAGCCCCTTCCTCACTGTTCTTATAGACATTTAGTAGATTTTCTTGAATGAGTGTTTCTCTATTTGCTGTGTGCTCTTAGGACAATTTCCAGATAATTAAAGGAGCTATTATGTATAATTTGCTCCAGTTAATTTTTGTTTTTTTCCGGGAAGAGTGTCCTCTGAGCTACTCTGGGTCAAGAAGTGTCACTCCTAATTTTTAAAATTTTGTTTATTTGTTTGTTTTATGAAGATCATGAAAAAAATGGAGGGTACTTATGAGAATTTTGACCATCCAGTGCATACCATAGGCCCTAAGCTTGAGCCCTGTGCCTGTTCTTCACAGACTGTGGGGCT